CAAAACCAACATAATGGGTTTGCGGCCAGCATGGATCCAGACCAGCCTGCGCATCCGCGCAGTCTGATCAGGATTCATGTTGTTCGCTTACAAACCCTATAACAAGTAAATAAACTGATAGCGAACAGCATGGATCCTGATCAGACAGCGCGGATGCGCAGGATGGTCTGGATCCATGCTGGTCGCAAACCCATTATGTTGATTTTGTCATGACACGGCTCATTTCATATAATTACTGCTTTTGAAGCCTGTTGTTATTATTGAATATTTTAGTATAAATTGAAATAGATTTATTTTGCCCGTGGACTATATTTTAGCATATTAATAATATTTTTAAAATATTTCACTTAAACATTGTTAATATTATATTTCCTTTGGTTTATAGAGCTGACATCGATAGTGATGTTGATATTTTTCTGTTAATCAGTCATTGATACTAACATATTGTTTCCAATTATAGTACATTTTTATAGTTCCAATTAGTGCCTTTTGTAAAAAAGCAAGTCCCCGGGGTGTTAAATAGAGATGATACGGTATTTGAAAAATCAATAATTTTAATAAATTATGAAAATTCACCTGAATTACATAAAAAAAGCAGTTGGCCAAAGTATTTTTTTATTTTAATATTATGAAGTTATAATCATAATTAAACAAACATTCTACCTGAGATTATACTGCTCTGTCGTCCCTCTAATTCCAAAATGAAGGCACCAAACAGTGTTGAGTAATGCTGTTGGTGTCATGGCACCAAGTACACCTTTCATATACATTTGATCAACTTCTTTATCGGAGAGTGACGATGCAACTCGTGGTTTATTGCCTTTTCCCAACTTTTTTAGACATTTTTGTTTGGCCTTTAAGGCATCTCTTGTCAAAGAAAATTGTGGGCCGTTTCCTCTCATTATAAGAAATGGATATTTATTTCTCTGCAGTTTTCGGTCAATACTACTGATAATGTTACGTAAAGAACTTGGTTCATATTCGGTACCATCTGCTTTCTTTATAGACAAAATAAAGTTTGCTAGATATGAGTCAAGTTGGTCAATGCTAATCTTATGTATCTCTCTTTTTTCACCTTTTGTTTCCAGAAATCTTCTGAACTTATTTATGTCAGTTAGAGTTTTTCTCATGGTAGTTTTGTTATCTTGCTCTTCAATGAACTTGTTAACATCATTTGAGGATAAATTCAAAAATTCTGATGTTTCAGGAGGCTGTTCAATTAATGTTGGCAATTCAAGTTGGTTGGCAGCAACAGAGATGGACAACAAAGGAGCACTCTCAGAAAGACTGTGATCAACAAGGCTAGGTGGTGGTGTTGGTTCCATTTCATCATCAAAATCAGTAATTTCCAGACTGTATTTATTCAGGAAATCATCAGGATCAATTTCTTCAACATGTTGTGTTTTAAGCTGATCCCAAATTAAGTCAAATGTGGTTTGACTCAAATAATCAGACATTTTTGACTGAATGAACTGCTCAGATCTTGGATTTTATCAGAATAGCAGAAGACAAGCTGATAAATTCTCTCCTTATTATTATTATTTTATTTATTTTAATAAAAGGACTAAAAATTTTTTAATTTATTTTAATTTATTAAAAAGTGTGAAGCAATACAACAAAATAAAAATATAACAGTAACAATTTTTTTTGTATTTTTAATATGCTTTATTTTTATCGTATCAAGATATGTAGTATTTGTAGTATCCAATGTAAACAGTAGACCGGAAATGACCCGAAAAAAGTAGTTCCGTCAAGGTCAAAATGTGTATTGATGAGGTGTCTGATAAAGCTTGGGGTGACTGATAAAGCTAGGTTTATCGGGCATGCACTTTATCAACAGAAATCAATGTAATGACATGATAAAACTGGTAATTTCACTGTTTGAAACAATGTTTTGAATTTAAGCCCCTTACGTTGTTTCAGTGAAATACCAGCGTGCACAGTACTGGGTACCAACTTAATGACGTGACGTCGTTAATGACGTCACGTTGTATTATTATTTGGCGCGCTTTTCATTCAGTATTAGGTTAAATGTCTTTTTAAAACGTTTCTTTGTATGTAATAAAAAGAAAATTTGTATAGTTTAGTGTAAGATTGAAATATATTTCACTTTGTGAACAGCAAAAATTCATATTTCACTCGTGGCTGCGCCACTCGCGAAATATATCTTTTGGTGCTCACTCGGTGACATATATTCCGATCTTACACTGAACTAAACAAATATCCTCTATATATTTAATTACGTTTAAAACAGTTTATCATCAACATTATAATATCAATTTTTTATTTGAAATAACGTTCTAGTATTATTACCCGTGCTCGTACTATAAATGACGTCATTAAAATGTAACGTGACATTGTCTTCAAAGTTTATTTTAATTCATTGAAAATTTGTATTTAAATTGTATTGTTTATCCATTTCTATCAATGTATTATCACACTTAGTATGATTATGTACTATGTACATATCAAAATAAAAAGATGTTTTATTCTGTTCTGTTCTATTCTGTACTGTATTGTATTGTATTGTATACCCGTCGACTTGATTGATTTCGTTAGATGCATTTTACGGCGAACGTATGATAAAAAAATGATATACATACATACAAACAAACAAACATACAAACAAACAAACAAGAAGATTTACAAAGTGTCAACTGTTTCTTTGAAGCAGTTGTACGTTCACAGATATATGGTTGTACATTTGTACAAACATTTTTAAGCAATTTATAAACAATTTATAAACAATTATTTGTACGTGCTTTGTAATCTATGCAGGAAAAGCTAATAACAGGTGGTGCCAAAATGCTGTGCATACCCTTAACGATTACACAACGATTCCGTTAATGAATTTTACTAACGACTGATTAGCGATATGGTAACGATGCTTTCTGGTTATGCAACAAAAACAATCGTAAAAATAACTAACGTGTTCGTTACGCGATCGCTAACGCTTTCGTAAGCGTGATTTTAACGAAAGCTTCTGGTTACTCACCCAACTAACTAACTAACTAACTAATCAACTTACCGACCAACCAGCCGACTGACACACTAACTAACAAACTAACTAACCAACCAACCAAGCAAACAACCATCCAAACAACCAACTAACGCACTAACTAACTAACTGACTCACTAACCAACCAACCAACTTACTAACCATCTAACCAACCAACCAACCAACAACCAACAAACTAACTAACCTAACTAACTAACTATCTCTCTATCTAGCACTCGTTTATGACTGTAATCGTATTCATGATGATCAAGGTGAAATTTTTTATAATAGTTTGACAAATTTGCCGAAAGTCTGTGTCCTGAGATAGATACATTGACTAGAAAATTCGAGAAGAGAAGATATATTTATTAAAAAGTTTCTGATACACTACTTAAATTCATTGATAATAACACGTCACATCAGTCGAGATCTCATAATAATAAATACTCTTAACCCTTACCCGAACTAGCTAACTAACTAAGTAACTAAGTAACTAAGTAACTAACTAACTAACTAACTAACTAACTAACTAACTAAATAACTAACAACTAACTAACTAACAACTAACTAACTTACAAACTAACTAACAAACTAAACACTAACCAACAAACTGACTAAATAACTACTTGATTAACTAACTATCTAACTAACCGACCGATCGATCGACCAACCGACCGACCGACTGACTGACTACTAACTAACTAACTAACTAACTAACTAACCAACCAACCAACCAACTAATCAACCAACCAATCAACTACCTAAATAACTAACTAACCAATCAACTAACTAACTAACTTACTTACTAACTAAATAACTAACTAACTAATTAACTCACTAACTAAGTAACCAACCAATCAACCAACGAACTACCTATCAAACTAACTTACCAATCAACTAACTAACTAACTAACTAACAAACTTACTTACTGACTGACGGACGGACGGACTGACTGACTGACTGACACGTACGTACGTACGTACGTACGTACGTACTCACTCACTCACTCACTCACTCACTCACTTACTTACTTACTTACTAACTAGCTAACTAACTAACCTTTAACATTTAGTCTGCTGGCGGCAATTGACTAAAACAATACGACGATTACAGACCGTGACTGATATACTTTGAGTGATGTGGGTTTTGTCTCACGAAATAAAATCCAAGACTTCACATTTTAGCATAAACTATTATATCGACTTGTCAGAGTATATTTAAAATAACAACGCAAAATATTGAAAATATTGAGCTTTTGTTTCCCCCTTAATTTTATATACAACAGGAACTTCAAGCGTTTAATACATAATTATATTTATGTGATGTGATATTTTTCTTGTTATGGTTACATTTAAATGTTTATTTCAAGTTTTCAACTTATATATATATGTAACCAAGTGCTATTTTTAAGGTTTTTGCTATTTTTCAAGAAAGGTAACTCTGTCGACCTTGTTTGATTTTAATCTTTACTTTGTGTGATTATGTCCCCTTGACCGCATTTGCTATTTGCTCAACCATAACGTTTCCCTCCTAAAGTTAGGGTCACTTGAGGTCATTCTTTGTGTTAAAGAAGTTGTTGGTCATTGTGACATGCAGATGTGTTGATTTTATATTATTAATAAGGATTTGGATTGAGGAATTGGTATTTGTATGTTTTATTCATTTGTTCTTAAAAGTTCTAATGTCAACTAAATGAAGACTTATAATAATTAAATACAGTTGTGGATTTGATAAAAGTTATTTTGATAAATTTGTATTGTTCTTGAGTGTTAGAATTCAAGATGGCAGCATATGTTCTTATCTTATAGTTATTCCTAGAAATCACTGTTTCTATTTGTATTGCACTGATGTTTGTAAATTACAGTTTACAGCATAATTAACAGCAAAGTGAGATAGGTGTGAGTGACAGAGGTACATGTATAGAAGAAAGAAGAAGAAGAAACATTTATTTATTATAGTGACTTGCGATACATGTATATAGTACAAACAAATATAAAACAATTACAGAACAAATAAATCGCCCGGCCCCATGGACCTATAAGTCACTGTTTATAGAAAAACGTCATTTATTTAAACATAGACAATCGAGTTGATTTAACGTCTTATGAATAAATATATATATATGAATGGTATTAATATGTTTAAAACATAACACCTGCCTAAACTTATCATTATAGTGTATATAGTTCGATGATAAACTTTCCTGAAAATCCTTGAGTTCGAATAGGTAATACATATAATTACACTTCAGTATTTCTATAAATGATATTCCGTCTATGTAAATAAGCTTTCACTAAGTATTTTGCAATTTTGCAAAATATCTAACATTTTTTGTAAGTCAATTTCTGATTTTGCGATCAGAGCAATGTCATCTGCGTAAAGTAAAATAGAAATCGAGGCATTGTTAATAGTCACACCAAGTTCAAGGTCATTAATTTCTCGGACTAGATCATTTACAAAAATTGCGAAAGGCGTCGGCGATAAATTACTTCCCTGGGCGACGCCTGACTTACAGTCAAACCAAGATGTAACGTTGTTGTTTATTCGAATACATGAAATTGTGTGTTTGTACATACTTTTCACTGCATTGTAAACTTTCCCTTCTATTCCATTTAGTAGAAGCTTGTAAAATAACATATCTCTATCTACAAAGTCAAAAGCTTTGCGAAGATCTATAAAGGCGGTATGTAAGTTGTCTTGGTTACGAGCAAGACTGTTTAAAGTAAATATATGATCCTCACACGATCTTCCTCGCCTGAATCCATTCTGCTCATCGGCCAATAAGTTTTCGTTTTCTAAATAGAATGTTATTCTTTTGTTTATCAAAGAGCTATATAATTTACCTACACATGAAAGTAAAGATACACCTCTATAGTTCAACGGTAATCGTTTGTCAGAACTCTTGTCTTTTAGAATCGGACATATAATTGCCTTTCTCCAGTCGCTAGGAATAACACTCGTGTCGAAAATAGGTTGAAAAAGTTTATGCAATACTGCTATAACCGGGGGAAATTTTAAAACTGCATAAGGTATATTATCGATGCCGCAGGCCGACTTCGATTTGGCACTCATTACAACGTTAACGATCTCTTCGATGGAGATATTATTATTCAGCAGTTCTTTTGGGGCGTAAAGAGTGTCAGAAATTGACATTTCAAGTATATGTTTGTGTAACTTCGCTCTATTGTAGAATTCGGAGTCAAACTCGTCACTTCCGGTGCTATTATACAAGTTTTCGAAATCCCGTTTCCATTTGTCAAAAACTGCATTTTCATCTTTATCAATGCGCCCATGCTCATTAACTATTTCCATTGGTATCGAAGAGTCACGCTTTGGACCGAGATGCTTAATTTTATTCCAGAACTCATTTGGGTTTGAAGTTGACATGAACTCTATTTCTACTGAAAAGCTTCTTTTATAATCTCTCTCCGTTTTTCGTAAAAGTTTATTGAAGTTATTTCGCGCTGCTAGATATTTTGATCGCTTAACCGTTTTTATTTGCCTCGTGTCGTTACACTTCAGAAAATCATTCTCGGCTAGTCGCATTTGGTTCCATTTCTCTGTCAAAGCTTCGTTCCAGTACGGCTTAGCTTTTTTGTTACGTTTACTTGTCCGGCGTGATGCATTATAACGTGGGATGCTGTGATTTATTTCATTGGTAATTGTTTCACACAACTTGTTATACAGTGAGTCTATTTCCTCTTGACTTTCTCGTGATGATTCTATGCTTTCTATAATTTCTAATAGAGCCCGTTTTGCTATATCTCTATCCATGAAATTATCGGGAATGAGATTAAGTTTATACCTTAACTGTGACGGTGTATTTGTATTATTATCTAATTGTCCGTTTTGAGGGATACAATAATCACAATTCAATGAGACGTGTGTCAATAACGCCGAGTGATCTGGTAGACATGATCTATGACCAATATATCCGTGTAATTCGTATTCATCAATAATACATTGCATTGATAATATTTTGAACATAATGCACTTTTGAAAAACGTCATGCGGCACACATATATAATCCACTACTGATTTTCCCTTTGGCGATATACTAGTGAATGCGTCATTTTCGAAGCGAGAATTCAAGGTGCAAAACTTTGAATCTATCAAGAAATCTATAAATTCTCGTCCATGTTGATTGATACAATTATCAATAGGTTTTCTTTCAGGCAAAGAGTCAACACTTTGTAATATATCTGATAATGTCCCTATTCTGGCGTTAAAATCAGCAGCAAGAAAAATTGTATCATATTCACTATTTAAGTATATTATGGAAAGAATGTGTGCAAAAAAGGTCTGCGCATCCCTTCCCCAAACTGAGTTTTCCGGTGGTACATATGCAGATATTACCATTGAACAGTAATCTGTATGCTTACATTTAAATTGCAGAGCAAGGATTCCTTCAAATGAGCTTTCGATTATTGAAATTTCAAACACCTCAAATAAACGCGCTTTTACTAGAATTCCAACACCTCCCGAACCTCGAACTGCATTTACATGAATATTTTTACGATTATTACCGAACCAGACGTATCCATCTACATTTATGACTTTTTCCCAAGTTAAGTGAGTCTCACATATTGAAAAAATGTCAGCATCAATGGATTTAATAATAGCGCATCTTAAATCATTATTATTTTCAGTCCAACCGCTTACATTTAGTTGAGCTATTTTCAACATGCCTTGGGGCCAGGATTCATTCTATTGCATTCCGGAACTAGCATCAAAACTCGGGGCAGAAGGTTTCGCGGTACGTTCTTTGATACGACCGTTTGCGTCAATACGGAAGTTGTTGCCCTTCGGTATATTACGTAGGAGCATTCTGGCGTTATCTTCGTTGATACGTTGATACGGGCTTTTACTGTTCTTAAGGAAAACATTGTTATAAGAAGCATGGTTTCGCAATGACATTTTTTTCCTGAGCACAGTAATTTTCTCTTGCAGTGTTCTAAAACATATTTTCACCCATCCTAGTTTGTCGGGGAAACGTGAAGGGAGTCTTCTAGCAGCCTGTACTGATACACTATTGTAAGTTTCTTCCCCAAAGGCTTTGATAAGATCTTTTGCTCTAGCGAGGATATCTTCGCCTTCATTAAATGGAAATCCGCTAGCGATAACTGTCAAACCTGGGTCATTAAGCGGATTATTTATTTGTCCAGACGTCTGACCTCTTTGTGTGCCGTTAATAGATTGATCCGTAACCCTTGAATGCTCCAGTGATTCTAACCTTTCTTGTAAGTTCTGAACACTTGTCAAGAGACCATCAATGCGTAAACTCTCTTTTGAGAGGTCAAAGGTCAACTGATCACGCAATATATTTATTTGTGTATCGATATGATGTGTCATCTCATTTTTGGCACTATCAATCTTTTTTTCTAAGGAGACCTTCAATTCTTCCTGAGTATGTTTAAAGTCTTTCACTGTTATCAGAATCTCTCTTACCTGGCCTGCAAGTTCCATGACACATCCCATTCCTGATTGATCACCTGACGTCATAGTATTGTCAGTATTATCAGTAGTCTTTATCATTTCTTGATTAATATGCACTTTGTTATCAGAGGACTCAAACACTGAAGTGTTACCTGTTTTATTGTCTGTACAATATTCCGACTCACAATCACAATCACTATCAAAATCACTTTTGTATAACACACTATTAGCCGCACTAAGAATACCACTGGTCAATATTCCGCCATATTTGCTTTGTTTACTCGACCTGTTCTCATTGTCCGATTCACTGCTTTTTTTACGTTTTTGACGCTGTCTATGCTTCTGTCCTCGACCCATATAGAATTATTCCAACTTAAGAGACAAATATCATCTAATCTAACCGAGAATCTATCCTTTGAAACACTTGAAAAACCAAGTTTTATACAAAATTAGAAGGTGGTAAGTTTTTCATGGCCATTACCATTCACGCCTACGTCATCATCATATGTATATTTACAGAGTCTGATCCACAACTGGTATGTTATATTATATTTATATGTCATTGTTTATATATTTTTAGAGCTATATGTATTTTTTAAGTTGAGCATAATGTATATTGTTTTATAGGTAAATAATTAAGTGGTCACTAGATGCAGGTACAATATGATGTAATACATTAAAAGATGTACTTTATGTGTACATGATTTATTTACATGAGATAAAATGAATGGTCTATCCCTATAGACAGATCTGTTGATAGAATATTAGATTACGTATATTTAAGGTACTGTAGTGTATACAAATGTATAAAACTATATATATTTCATGATAGTATGGGATGTTTGGTATTTATACTTTCAGGGCTTGGTAGATGTGATATAGATGTGATGTAGATGTGATGTAACTGTGATGTAACTGTGATGTGTATGTTGTATGATGTATGACATATGATGTTTGATGTTGAGATGTACCGAATTGGAATTATATATAAAGCTAGTGTCCACTACAAATTAAATTGATGAACCAGTAACCCTCAGTTTGTTCTTTATATATACAAGGCAAAAAGACATCTGGGTCACAAATGGCGCCCAACGGATTTTAATAAGTGGACACTTTTATTTATTTTTATCTATTTGCTGTGTGAACTGTGTAAGAAATTTGACTTTTCTCTGAAAAGTTCTACTTAATTTTCATTGAAATTTATAAGTGAAGTGGACTTCATTCTACCGACAGTGTATTAATTATTATTCATAATAAGTATTATTATGTAGTTTACTTTAGAAGACAGTTTTTCGTTTATAGTAAAGTAACACATTTGTTGTAAAATTGTGTAAAAGGATTTAAAATATAATATAAGATACATATTGTATGTTTACTTGGAACGCTCATCAGTTTACTCATACGGACACTGTTTAAGGATATCACTTGCTAAAGATTCATCATTTCCCAGTCTACTGTTTTGACATTAAATATTTTCATCACTTGGAGGATTATTTGTTTCATAAACTTTTTGTGTTAAAGCAAACTTTGATTTTACATTGTGATTTTTATATTGCAGGTTTAGATTTTCAATGGTTACTGTTATATAGTGTTGTGAGTGTATTAGTGCTCTAGTGACCAAAGTCAAGATTTTTCAGTACATCAGATTTGTGAGTAAAACATATTGTCAATGAAATGAATATATTGTAACATTCATTAATTGCAGTTTCAACTGGTAAATCTTTTATGTAAATTCTCAGATAGATTCTTTTGTGTAAATTTTTATTTGAATCTTTAAAATCTTGTTTGAAATATATTACCAGATTGCCACAGACTGCAATTTCTGATATTTTTCAGGAGTGATATTTTTTCAGGAGTGATATTGTATAGATTAAGGAAGAAAGAATTCACTTTAATTGCATGTGCCCCATAAATACCCCTTTATTAACTGGTGAGGGAACTTAATTCATTGTCTACAAATTAAGAAGCATCTCCTTCCAGATAAGATAATGCTGCTATTTTGAATTCATTAAAAAGAGTAAATATTTTGTTTACAAATTTCAAATATTAAAGTCTGATTTTGTTGACAGTCTTCTATTGATAAAGTAATAGTCAATATTTATTTGCTTGGCCTTAAATATCCCTGGTAGAAACTTTACACATAATGAGGTGATTGTATAAACATTGAAATTGTTTTGACTGATCAGCTGTCTATATTGTACCTGGAGTTTGAACCAAGTTGATTGTCAAAACACTGATATTGTGTTGAGTGACCAGATATTCATTGCATTTGTAACTTGAAACAATTTATATATATGTGTTGTACAATAATATTTTGATTTCCTGA